GTATAATAAGTGCACATACAGCCTGACTACCAGAGATGCATGGAGGGAATGATGTACAAGTCAGGGGATGCGAGTGTGAAATTTGAAGCTTCGGAGGGGAACTATTGATTTGTGGACAAAGCGTTTCTTTTCTTGTGTGTAATCTCTACATGCTTAACTAGTGCCCTCTAAAAAAATATCTCATCCTGCTGGCAGTCAGATGTGGCATTTATTGTGAATACTTGCGTGAAAATTGCAACTATATGGCTGTTTGTCCAGCTGCTTGGCTAACACCATTCCCCAGCGCAAAAGTTAGCTATTAAAAAAATCCTCAATCTGGTTGTTAGCAGTCTTTCTTGCTGTTTTGATATCAGGAAAAAAGCATTTATGTTAGTTTCAGTCAATTTCATAAATCTCAAAAAATGTAATCATTACATTACATCAGGTCATTACACACTTTTCATCCTATGTCTGGCCTCAGCTTTTCACTCAGAGGCAGGACTAAGTAGGATATTTCAGTGGAAAACACAATTAGATAGTACAACTGTGTGAACCCAAAAAATGCAACAAATAGCTAGAGGTGAGATGGTTTTGTAATCTCCTCATCTCACCAATATGGTCTTTTTTTCACTCATTTTGTTGGTATTTCAACCATGTTTCCTACTTGAGGTGGAGCTATTTTTAAAAGACAAAAACACTGTAAAAAAAGAGGTTCATTTTTTAAGGCAAACAGTTTGCATTTTCTTCAAGCTAGGCTGTGGAGAAAACCCGGTGACCTCAAAAAATATGGTTCACACAATTACTTCTGCTCTTTAGACGAATCAGGTTTGCAGGCTCAGATTGGATGAAGGCGGTCTGAGGAAAGAAAACACCTCGTGCTTGTCTGTTTCTGTGTGCTTTTGATTGGATCAACACAGAGAGTTTCAAAGCTCGCTCTTATCTTGTATCTTGTTTATAACAGTCTGAAAAGGACAGGTCAGCAAAGATGCCAGGGTCAGATAATGGTTGAAGGCTTCTGTGTTTGTCGGCTTCTTTTTTTTTTTTTTTTAAATAACCCTTGTGCACAGCCATGAGGTACCAACGTGGAAATATTGACTGTGTCAGAATGAAGTATTGTAAATACAGTCAGAGGTGGCTGCATGCTTTAAAAACAGTTTAAACAAAGAAACCTGTAAACACATAGACTCTTATATGTACAGTTGCCAATAGAAGCAGGAAGTCGACTTCAGTATGATCTACACAAGTCAATCACATAGCTACAGTATGTCTCTCAGGTTACTTGTACTATACTTGAAAGTTTGCTATAAGTGTATTTCCTTTGTTTTTAGATTACATTTAACATGAAAAGATCAATCCAGCAGGAAAAATCAAAATCAAAATGTTGATCTTTCGATGTTTGCCCTTGATTTGTCTTGAATATATCCAAAATTCAAAAAAGCATAGATAATGCATCTGACCGTTGTTATTAAGAAAACACACATGATGTTTTCCAGTCCTGCCCCACCCTGGGAAAATCTATTAATTTAGCAAAAATATTTCCTCCTTAGTTCCCAAATGTAACATTAAAATTATAAACAATGACACAAAAAGGAAGCAATGCACCTAAATATATATTCTTAGCAGTGGTTAAGGTATCAGCTTAAGACAGCTTAAGAAAGAGAAAGTATGAAGAAAAGAAAAAAATGGATGCAGTAGAAAAAAACAACTTATAAGAAAGAAGTAAAGTGCAGTCTCTTATTAACAGATGATGAAGTCAGAGACGATGAGCGCAACGTGTATCAATACCTTTTTTCTACTTCAAGGTTGTGTTTTATACAGCCAAATAGAAGCATTACAGACTTGAGCAAAATGTAACCTATGATAACAACATCACAACTGAATACATACTGCTTTTTACAGAAGAAAAAAACACATCTCCTCATATTTACAATGACGGCTGAGAGCTTACAAATAACACCACTGGATAATGCAGCTCAAGAGTCAATGCTTTGTTAAAAAGTTCCAATGAGGTCCTAGCTCTTTTCGTTGCTTACTTTGTGAGGTGTAAAGAATGTACTTGCAATAAAAATATGTGGAAAATAACCCAGGCGTTTGAGTTCAATACAAAAACAGTCATTTCAACTATACAGAGTAGGTAATTGCTTTAAATACAGAGATAAGATAAGAACTTTATTCATCCCTGGGGGGAAATTCAATAGGTCACAGGTGATGCATAACTAAATCATAAATATGGTTTTGACTGTCCCTTTTACCCGACAAAGCTGTAACCTTTCCAGGGTTTATTTTGCTAAATAGGGGTAAGTTTTAAATGCCTAAAGGTACTGACTTGTGTTACTCATTAAGTCTAATACTAATGGTTACATTCATTATAATTAGCTTTTATGCACTGACACTAGTGGTTTAATCAGCTGATCCAGATAGCATTGTGTTCTCACTGCCTGCAGCTATGTTCTCGGTTAGTTTTGTTCTGTGATTGTGAGATGTATGTTCCTGGCTTTTTACATATTCTATAAAGCCTTATGAGGACAGCAGAATTACATTTCTGGCACTGATAACTTTTTAAAAGAAAAAAAAAGGTTAATTTTTTGGGGGTGGAGAGGATGTTAAGTCAATAAAGTAATTATCTGATTATGTCTGAGCAGAAAGAGTCAGAAAGACGTGCTGTAACACATCCCTAAGATGTGTTACAGCACATCTTAAGGATGTGTTGTAACACATAAGAAACACATAAGAAAGCTGGTTCAGGGTCACGATTCTCTCTGTGTTGCATCACCTATCTTTCTACAACACTCGATAAGCCTTTGTGAACTAAGGACACTTACTGTTGCCGCTTTGGAGGGGAATTCTTTCACATCCTTGATGGATAGACCACTTCAGTTCCTCAACAAACCAGGGTCTCCGCTGTGGTATTGTCTGCTTTATAAAATGGAGGCAGGTCTGGACTGCAGGCAGGCCAGTCTAGTTCCCAGAGTCTTTGACCCTAAAGCCATGCTGTTGTAACATGTGCAGAATTTGTCTTGGCATTGTCTTGCTGATATAAGCAGAGACGTTCCTGAAAAAGACGTGGCTTTGATGGCAGCTAATGTTGCTCCTGAATTTGTATGTACCTTGAATCTTTCATGCTGCCTGAACTTGAACTTGTAGATGTAGAAGTGAGCTGTGTCAACTGACAATGGTTTTCTGAAGTGTTCCTAAGCCCACATGGTAACATCCTTTACAGAATGATAAGGGTTTTTAATGTATTGCTGCCTCAACGGTCAAAGTGGCTTATAAAGTGGAGTTATAAACTAAAGATAGAAATAAATAATTATTATGATAACATTTAATATTATACAACTAAAAAATAAAATAATGGTAAAAAGGCATGGGGGTGGGATCTGGAAGCAGTGTTTTTAGAGTTTGTTTGCTGTGATAAACAATTAAAGTTTGAGGATTTTATTTAAAAAATGTGGCCGATGCAGGGCTGTAGCCCTGAAGCCCGGCTTCCAAATGTGCAGAGTCTGAAATTTGGGATGAGAGCAAACCAGTATCTGAAGACTGGAGTCTGAGGGGCAAGGTTGTGGAGGGCTTTGGAGGAGGAGTATTTTGTATTTGATGGGGGATTTTATTGGGGGCCAGTGGACACGGATGAGGTTGGGGGTGATGTGCTGTTAGGGCCTGGTGCAGGTGAGAGTTCTGCTGGGTACCCTGACCTTATTCCAGTAATCAATGTGAATAAATCTAAAAGTTAAGTGTATGGGTGGGAGAGGGTTTTTTGTAGTTCTTGGTATGATACATACACCTGCTTAAAGTCAAGCATGTAAACTGAAGTGTGTGTGGTCAGACTCATTGTTAGTTTTGCTGTGATGTGGCGCCATTTTTCCACAGATTTTTTTCCATAGATAGATATACTTTAGTGATCCCAAACTGGGAAATTCTCTAAAGATAGATAAAAGATTTAGCACCCCACGTGGGGCTCGAACCCACGACCCTGAGATTAAGAGTCTCATGCTCTACCGACTGAGCTAGCCAGGCTTTTTTTTTTCTTTTATCTTTTTTATCTTTTCCTTTTTTTTTGATCATGCTCGATTTTTCTTTACTTTGGCATATTGTGTTTCCACTTCTGACCAATCAGATTGCATGCTGTTGTGACATCTGATTCACTGGTATATCCAACATGGCCGACCGGCTAATTGTTTACGTGTCGGAGAAAAGAGTGCTTTTTGATAAAAGACACAAACATTACAAAGATAACAACTTGAAGGACAACTTGTGGAGAGTCATAGCATTGGATCACTCATATGACGATAGTTTTTGTGCTATCTCCTCCGGCGCATCAAAATTGTCCTCCAAATATTTTGTGATTTTGCGTTCTGTATTCACACCGGCCCCGGTGTATATGGACATTTAGTGTCAAATATTTTGTTCATCATGTGTGATCTTTTTGAGCCACCCTTAGTCTGATCCCTCCCGCAGGACCTGTTTGCCATGGTTAGGCATAAAGCCCTCGACAACCTAGCTCCTGGGATCATAAGGACACGCAAACCCCTCCACCACGGTAAGGTGGTGGCTCGAGGAGGGGAAAAACCCTCCAATTGGAGGGAAAAACCACGTTTTTTTTTTTTTTTTTTTTTTTTTTTTTTTTTTTTTTTGTTTTTTTTTTTTTTTTTTTTTTTTTTTTTTTTTTTTTTTTTTTTTTAGTTTTTTTAGTTTTTTTGTTTTTTTGAAGTTTTTTGGGTTGTTGTTTTTTTTTTCTTTTGAGGGTTTTTTTTAAGGGTTTTTTTTGTTTTTTATTTAGAGGTTTTTTTTGTTTTTTGTTTTTCTTTTGAGGGTTTTTTTTTTGGAGGTTTTTTTTTTTCCTTTTAATATTTTTTGTTAATTTTTGTTCTTGATTTTTCTTTTTTTGGAGGGGGGGATTTTCTTTTCTTTTTTTCCTTTTTTAAATTTTTAGTTTTTTTTTTTACTTGATATTTTCTAGATTTCTTTCTTGATTTATCTTTTTTTTTTTTTTTTTTTTTTCAATATGCATTTTTCCCTGGAACCTATGTCCCTGGGACCTCCTTGGTCTCTACTTGACCTCTGTCACTCCTTTCCTCTTGGGTCCTCAGTCCGTCCATTATGGCTTGAGCTGTTGAGGATCTGATGACACTGATGGACTCCAGCAGAGTGGCTTCCTGCCACTGGAGCTTGTGCTTCTGCAGATCCATACTGGCCTGGTGTAGTGAAGCCTCCAAACTGAAAGATTTCGCCTGCTCCACAAGGAGCTGTGACCTTAACTCTTCCCTTTGATGTGTCTGTTTGGATAGGTCCTCTTTAGTCTGCCCGAGGACTGCCCTCAGGAAGCTAATTTCCTCCTTGTGTGCATTCTGGACACGAATCTTATGCTCCTCCCACTGGTGTTTAAGCTGATCCAGTTGTTGGTGCCCAGTAAGGAAAAGCTGTCTCTCCTTCTCCTGTTGGCACCTCTGGTTCTTCAGCTCTTCTTGGGCTTTCTTTAGGGAAGCCCCTATCTTGCTGATTGCCTCCTCATGCTCTCTACGGAGACAGGACCTGTCCTTCTGCCACCTCTGCTTCTTTGTCTTCATCTCCTCTTCAGCCTGCTCAAGGGCAGCCTTCAACTTGCATGAATCCTCTTTGTATGAGAGAAGAGATGATTTCTCTTGCTCCCATTGCTGCCTCTGGATCTCATGGTCTTTTTGGGCCTGCTCTAGGGCAGCCTTCAATTTGGAGGACTTATTTCCTGCAAGGAGACGTGATTTTTCTTCCCCCCTTTGCTGCTTCTCAATCCTTAGGTCTTCTTGGACCTGCTCTAGTGCAGCCTTTAATCTGTCCGATTCCTCTTTGTATGAGAGAAGAGAGGAATTTTCTTGCTCCCACTGCTGCTTCTGGATCCTGTGGTTTTCTTCAGTCTGCTCTTGTGCAGCCCTCAATCTGACATCTTGCTTGCTCTATCTGGGCCTGCATGTCCTTGATGGCATGGGACATATCAGCCTGCAGTGTGGAATTCATGTCTTTCTGCCTGGCCAACTTTTCTTCCATCTCTCTCCGCTTTTGCCTTTCTTTATCACAGTCCTCCTTCAATTTTTCCATTTCCAGGACTGCTTCCTTGGCTGACTGCTGCTGGTTTGAAACCTCAGCAAGCAGTTGAGCCTTTTCAGAATCTGCCTTCTCTTCCTGGGTTCTGAGCTGCTTTTTCAGAAGCTCCACTTCATGAAATAAGGCTGCCCTTTCCCCTTCCTGTCTGCTCACCACTTCAACCTTACCCTTGATTCTGGGACATTTAGGCTCAGGGATCTGGGTGAGTGCCTGGCTAAAGCTTTTGACACTGCCTTCTTTTTGTCCTAGCCCAGTTTGTCTTAAGGGTTCCTCCTGCTGTGGAGGAGACCCTGTTTTGGAGGCTGGCTGACAATCCACCTGTTTGGTTGTCTCTTGAAGATTTGAGGTCTTCTGGTGGCTCACAGGTGGAAGTGCCTTTGTTTTTTCCTCCTGGGCTTTTCCAACAAATGTGGTCTGCTCCCTCAATGCTTGTCTGCGGGCCTCTTCTTTGAGAGCCTGGCGCATCATCATTGCTTCTTTCCTTTCAAACTCGTCTTCTGAATCATCCAGGTCGTACAAATCTGCTGGCACCAGGTTTGCATAAGGGTCAGCAGAAGGCTTCACAATGGGTACGGTGACCATGTTCTTCTTCTTGTTTCTGCCTTTTCTGGCATCCTTCTTCTGGCTCGTACTCATTGTGGGCAGAATGCAATTTCTGGACATGAGGTACATGGACATGGTGTAATTTGTGGACGCTGTAGTTCACTGTGGTTCACTGTGTGTCTCTGTGAGTCTCTGTATGTCTCTGTATGTCTCGCTCTGATGGCTGGACTAGAGAGTAAATGTTGGAGGTTGTGTTTTAATCCCTTTTTTCAGATGAAAGCAGTGATGACATCACTGTGATGTCATCACTGCTTTGATGACATCATAACAGTGATGTCATAAGACAAAACATTCCTTTTTTTTTCAAATTTAAATCAAAACATTTTCAAATCAAGTCAATTTATATAATTAGCAAAGCATTAGGCACTTTTGTTATACTGTGGATATTTTCTTAATCCTCCTCCGGACAAATCTTGATTGACAATAGTCCTACAGCTCGAAGGGCGGTCAGACAAACTGCAGAAAAATTTTGCATTGAAGTCAATGGGATGAGCCACAAAAGAAAAGAAAAAAAGATCATTGGAGTTTTCAAACAGCTTCTTCTCTGCCATACTTTCACCTAGAAACCCCATTTAAACCTTAGAATGTAGACACAAGTCTTGTCTATTGGCGTATTAATCCAAGTTATGGTTGGTATGATACATTTTTGTCACATTTAAATGTTTCAGATCTTAAAACAAATTTAAATATTAGTCAAAGACAATACAAGTGAACACAAAATGCAGTTTTTAAATGAAGGTTTTTATTATTGAAGGAGAAAAAAAAATCAAAGCTACATGGACATGTGTGAAAAAGTCATTGCTCCCTAAACCCTAATAACTGGTTGGGCCACCCTTAGCAGCAACAACTGTAATCAAGTGTTTGCAATAACTTGCAATAAGTCTCTTACGGTGCTGTGGAGGAATTTTGTCCCACTCATCTTTCCAGAATTGTTGTAATTCAGCCACATTGGAGGGTTTTCGAGCGTGAACCGCCTTTTTCAGGTCAGGACTTTGACTCGGCAGTTCCAAAGTCATCATTTTGTTTTTCATCAGCCATTCAGAGGTGGTCTTGTTGGTGTGTTTTGGATCATTGTCCTGTTTTTGTCTTTGACTAATATTTAAATTTGTTTGATGATCTGAAACATTTAAGTGTGACAAACATGCAAAAAAATAAGAAATTAGGAAGGGAGCACATACTTCTTCACACCACAGTATGTTTAGACAAACACTGAGAAAAATTTGGCCACAAATTGGGTGGGTTAAATGGGTTGATTACCATATACTTGGCTTTTGATAAGTGTTACAACAACTAATAAGACTCTGAAATCCCACACAAGAAAATTATATCTTTATTGCACCGACTCCAATGAAATTGATACTCCATCAGTGCAACATAAAAGGGAAAAAACAAACAAACAAAACAAAAAAAAACAGACAAAGATGCATAAAAACAACAGGATAATTAAAAAAATGACAAGAATAAATCAAAACTGAATAGTGACATAATGCATCACATGTACCAAACACTTCTGATCTATAAGTCCTTTTTTTCCTCCAGAACCTAGATTAATCTATCTGTTATCAATCTGTTCCTTAGATAGAATGGAAGACATTATTGAAGTCTATGTCAGAAATAGTAATTAGTTTTGTCAGCTGAGAGAGTCCAGCCCAGATTCCTTAAAGCAAGGAGTTGTAAAATTACAAAACAAGTATGTCATAGTTATAAACCCATCATCAAACCTGGGAAATTTGTAAGAGATCAGACTGTATTAGAGAAATGGGCACATGGATGTGTTGACAGGTTGACCTTCATCATGTATATGAATCATCAAACTGATCTAACACTGTATGAAGAAGTGAACTTAACTTCCTGTTTAATGGCGAGGCTGCACTCTATAAAGCAGACAATCAAAAACTTTGAACCAAAATGGTGGACTTCCTCTTTGGGTTAAAGGGATATTCTGGCTTAAAATTAATTCAGAGTCAAACACACTTAAACACCGAGTTAGACACCCCCTGGAGAGATGAATGTTGACGACCACTTGCTTCTCTCGTTAAACCAACTTAAGCAACGACTACAGGATAGCAATACACAGCCGTCTGAGGAGCCACACACCAACCTCAACCAAAACGCCACTCTGTAGCCACAAATAATGCTCAGAACAGCACCTAACTTCATTAACAGTACATACAGGGTCCCAGCCACAGCACTATAGCCACCAAACATCTTTTTAACTTTGCGTATTTCTTTAGCCAAGACACTAAACACAACTCACCTACTCTCTTCCAGCAGATGCCTGTTGATAGCGAGATCTCAACCAGTCCATCATCGACTGAGGTGGAGGGATGCAGCTCAAAGAACATTTATGATAATTTCTTCATGGAAATGCAATCAGACCGAGATGCTAAGGCAGAAGAACTACCACGTCTGCAGTGCAACTTGATTAATATGGTGATTATTACTTCAAGGAAATGATAAAGTAATGATCATGAATGTTCTTCCTTGAGCTGCGTTACCCCGCTGCAGTCAGTAATGGATTGGCACGAGGTCTCACTCCAAACAAGCGGCTGCTGGAAGAAATTAGGTGAGTTGTGTTTAGTCTCTTTGCTAAAGAAATCAGGCAAAGCTAAAAAGATGTTTGGTAGCTAGTACTATGGCTGGGACCATATATGTACTGTTGATGAAGTTAGGTGCTGTTCAGAGCGTTATTTGTGGCTATAGAGTGGCTTTTTGGTTGAGGTTTGCGTGTGGTTCCATGGACCCCTGTGTATTGCTATAGTGCAGTTGTTACTAAAGTTGGTATAACTAGAGAAGCAAGCGGTTGCCAACATTCATCTCTCCAGGGGGTGTCTAACTCAGTGTTACAATGTGTTTTACCCTAAATGAATTTTACGCCAGAATATCCCTTTAATAGATGTGGAGAATGTATAACTTCTCCTGTGTATGACCTATTTTCTATGAAAATAAACTTTTTCCCCAACATATTCCAACAGGGTCAAAATAAAATAAGAGACAGCCACCGAGTTGATGGCTATGCCAGCTCTTATTTAATTTTTTACACTTGATGATCTTAAAATGCACAAGTTTAACCTCTCCAGTTTTTGTTATGCTTCATTAATCCTTTCTAAGCTGATTATATGTCTTGAGTCAAAAGGATTTTATTTACATAGAGAGTGGTGACTAGCTGTCTCTTTTAATGCCAGTGGATTAACCTTTCCTGTGAGACTAACACTGTGTCCGCATACATAATGATTAGTTTCAACCATGCATGAAACTACATGGAGGGGGATAAGAACAGTGGTCATGCCTGTCAGTGGTAGACAAAGGATGGGTCCCATTGAAGAGATGAACATTTGCACAGACTTGCGCACATGCCCATACTAACTCAGTCATGTGGACACAGAAGAAATGCATTGGATAAGGAGGAGAAGGACTAAGCCCGTTGATGGCAAAAAATGTACCATGTTGTGGAAATCTGTCCAAAATCTTGAAATTCTGGCTCTTTTAATTCCATGAGATAGTCTGTTTCTTTTTGACCCCATTGCTCTAAATTATCTCCCCTACACACAATATAACCCTGTGCCCTTAACGTTGTATACAGGCAGGACAGAGTCTCTGGCTCACAGAGCTTATTGGTTCGATATTTAATGGCACCCCATGGCCCAGTTGGTTATCACTTTTTAATTTTATCTTCCTATTCAGGCCTTTTCTCAGCGGTTTTCTTCACAAGAGGAATCGAAGATTTTCTCCACAAAACTAGGTGAGCACCTTTGCAACACCCTCAACCATTTCACTGGCACAGCAGTTGTAAAAAATGACTTGGCCCTTTGAGGAATGAAAGGTCAGGGTAACCTTGGACAAAATCCTTTAAAAGGGCTTTTTCTGTGGAGATGTGCTTTGAGGTGCAAGGCAAAAGGAAAAACTGCTGGAGTCAAGGCCTATCCACGTCTGTCGATTTTAATGGAGCTCTCCAAGGCCATGTGTCTTGAACATGGCCTTGTATCAACATGGGCTGTTTTTGCTTTTCTCTCTTTTTTCCCTTGAGAACAGAACCAACTGGATATCTTTTTATTAAATCCTTAAAATATAACTTGCTATTTTAAAATTATTTTTATTCACCTTCTTACTACTAGTTAGACAAGGAAACAATCAATCTGATCTCTCAAATATATCTATATTAATGTAAAGCATTTTATGTGCTATTTGTAAAACTGTGTAGGTATGCTGAAAGAACAAACAGGATATCTAGCCATTACTCAAATAGATACTGTGTTTTAATGTAGGACTAAGTCAAGGTATCTGATTTCTCACCTTCAGTCTCAACAATAAGCTAAGCTAATTGTTTATTCAGGCCAAATCTTCAACACTTAATTCACAGATATGAGAGCGATTCAACCTCTCTGATTGTTATTTCTTAAATACAGCTGATATTACCGTTGGTATTAGCGGGGTAACAGGTTACAAGAAAATCTGTCACAGAACTCTGATTATTTTTTGCAGTAATGAATAATGGAGCTCTTCACAGTCAGGGTTTCATGAATAGGTTTTTTATAGTTTGCTGAATAGTGTTTTTACTTGTGATCAAGTAAACAAAGAACTGAACTGAATTTTCTTTTCCCTTTTTTTTTTAAATTTGTTTATTTATTTTTTATCTGTGGTCTTTCCTTTCATCCGTTTACCATTTTGAACTGAATACGAAAAGGGTTGTTTTAAGGTTTTGAACCAAAAACAAAGTCATTAAAATAGAAAGAGTTTAAGAGTTCAGACATGTGTTCAACCAAACTGATGCTAAAATATGTAAGCCTGTTAATCTGTGTAGAGCAACAAACATGTCAACTTGATCACACCACTGCTAAGTACATTTGCATGCAACTCTGTCAAAATCAAATAATAGTGTTTAAAAACACACACATTACATATGAAAATACATTGGTCTGCAACTCAAATCAGTGACTTCCACATGTTTGAAATGACAAGCAGCTGCTAAAAAACACAGTGAAACTCTTCCAGAGAAATGAAAAAGTGTCAGCTGAACCAAACTGAAAAATATCCTTGTGTGAAACTTTTCCAAAGTGACCACTGACCAAACCGCTGTAAATCAAGGTACTTTTTTTTTTTCAACTGACCAAGCAGCTTCTAAAAAACTGCTGACTTGTAACATGCCTCTGTTGAATTAACTACACTTGGCCTTTGGCCTACACGTCACAGAAAATGTTCAGTTTTGAAAGACAGGAAACGTACTTGCTTTCCATCACACGTTAATCTCAAACTTGCACCCAAGACTAGCTTTAAACTCTTTTACAAGTTACATGTAACACAATCGTTAGTGACAACAAAAGAGACTTTTATCAATAAATCAATCACTTTAATTATAGAGCACTTTTCATACATGGACTGTATCACAAAGTGCTGTACATGAAAGAAAACAAGAAGGAGAGGATCAGGATACAAATTGCAAAACCCCAACCACCCACTCACCCCTCAAAGCCTGCATTTAACAGAGACCCCACCACCCACCCACCTGCACACACACACACACACACACACACACACACACACACACACACTGGGACACCAAGTCAGGGCTCAGCAGGAAGCCTCAGTGGACCAACTCGTAACTGTGTAACTCGTAACTCAGTGGCTTTTCGGGGGTTTATTTATCGTATTTCAAAAACTCGTAACTGTGCTAATGTGACTGGTGTCTGAGTGACTGTTTACTTAAAGGTGGAAAGGTGGGGTAGGCAAGAATTTGTTAAAGAAGTTTTTATTTTTATTTTTTTATGGTGTATATACAAAAAAGCTTTTAATATCCATCAATAGCTATTGTTTATTCATGATATTTGGTAATATCACGATAATGCTGTGTTCTCTTATGCCTGTATAGTCAACATTTAAAAATTTTTTAGCATTACGCTCATTCTGACTGTAAACAAAGCCGTTCTCCACCTCTCCCATCCTGACTGGTTGAGAAGCAGACACTGCTCCCTCGTGTTGTGGGGCACGCTCCATGTCCTCGGGATGCTTCAGGATCTTACGGACCCTGTAACCTTTCTGCTGGACAGGTAAACCGCTTTAACAAAGTAAGCCAAGTGTAACAGAAGTGTTTCTTGTCAAGCCGGACCTGCTGCATGTTATAGCGCCGCTAAACTGTTTACCTCGGGTCGTGGCGTATGTCAATTTAGGCTAGTTTTAGAAGTCCTGCAAACATTGTGTTTGCTGGTAGTCTGTTGGCATCTACAGTAGCACCAATGCTTTTTACTTTCACGCTGACTGGGCTCCATTTGTAATCATCTGAAGTATTTATCTGCATAATATCCGAATTAATTGAAATGATACAAGCGAGCAAGAGTGTCTGTTTGTGGGCGGGGCTTGCTGGAGCAGAGAGGGAGGGGAGAGGAGGAGCTAAGGGGTAAACTGGTTGGGAGGGGTAGTGTTTATATTCAAGATTTCTCGCAAAAACTGGCACTTCCTCAGATCCTGCCTACCCTACCTTTATGAAAAAATAAAAGCAATACCTGAAAGACAAAAGCTTGTCTCCTGCTAAGAACTGTACTTGAAATCTAAAGAGGCACTTGCAAGCAGAAACGGGTTTTGTAATTCAGGTGGAGAGTTTTACTGAGAATAAAGGAAGGTGCTGATGGTGCTACGGCTCTAAAACAGCAAAAGCCTCAGCTTAGGGAGGAGAGTTAAAAAAAGAGACCTACAAAAGGTTGCTGCTTGCCACCGAGTGCTCTCCCGCTGGGGGACTGAAAGAACTACCAAGGTCTGCTCTGAACAGCTTCCAGACGAGACTTTTTTGCACTCTCAGAGCACATGGGTACAGCCTCAGCATCTGTATTTAGGTACTGTATGTGTCATAAAAAGCTCACGCACTTTGGTTATATTTGAACCGAGTCAGTTAATGAGTTCTCTAGTTGTGTGTTGGAACATAATTGGATCCTTTTTGCAACGTTTTCATATGTCTGCCCAGTTTGCAGTCAATTTGGCACTGTTATAAAGATTCCAGGCCATAAACTTGGCTATGTAATTGCAGTAGCCCTTTTTTGAACTTTTCCTGTTTCTCTTTTTATTCTGGATCATATACGTCTTACAGTTTTTGAACATACAGTATAGGCTCCATTAGTTTGTTTTTCCCTCTCTCTCTCCTTTTGTGTGTTTGTGGCTAAGCGGGGGTTTTCTACACATCTTAAAGTCATCTTGATGCATCAGCGCTCAACAGACCAGCACTAGTGTTATCGCCAGCCCCTCGTTAAAGCGACCATTTAATTCCAGCTTTGACTGACCGTGTCATCAGCCAATCAAACTTGGATATGTAGTAACCAGTGTTTTTAGCAACCTTAATAGCTTAACAGTGGCAGCTGTAAAAGATCAGGCCACTGAGCCTCACCTCACAGGGTGACACATTTGAAGACTTTTGAAGGCAGCCAGAGTTATCTTTCAGGGGACACAACGAGGGGGTAAGAGCCTGAATCTAGGAACTCACTTGGCATTACTCTCTTTGAGATTAGATTGCTACGCCACTGTTTTTAACTAAACATTGGAAAAAACTGGTGGAGCAACACTGCACAGCTGTCAATTATACTCAGTTATGCCACTGATAGAAGAAGAAGAACTTCATTGTTCAAGTTTGAGAACGTCACGGGATAAAAAAAAGATGATTTAGCCGCTTTAGCATTTTTAAGTGTTACATCAGGGTTGACTAATAAAGTCATTGGCCTAGTGTTATGCATCAAAAATGAAGGACTGCATCTTTTTTTTTTTCTTGAAATCATTTTGTACACGTTCTCTCAAGTGCGTAAAACTGAAGGATGAATTTTGCGAAATGCAGCAGCTGTGAGTCTCTCAATCCAGATGGAGATTTAATTGTAGGTTTGTGTGCACTGTCCTAGAAAGAAGAGCTGAGCTGGTTGAGCTTTTACAGCACATCCTGGACCACATCGAGGATTTTGATCGTGAAACTGTGCATTGTGCATCAGGACACTTGCCACAGTTTAGGCGCTTGATTTGGTTTGATTCGGTCCCGGATGCACAATTTTTCCTCAAAGATCAAGCTCAGAAACTTGGAAACAAGCTACGGTGTACAGTTTGACCTGGGAAGATAGAGAGTGATGAACAGCACGACAATCTTTCAGGGAAAAAGCCCAACTGACCTTCTCTTTTTTCTGAGGAGCACAGGACTGGTAGTCAGCTTTTAGCAGTTTTATGCCCTCACATGCTCATAAGAGTACCCTTGCCCACAGCATAAGATGAGGGATCTTTCACTGGTGTACAAAACTTGTACAAGAAAAAGACAAGACAAACATGACTCTCTGCACTGGCGTCCATTTCCACAAAGACAGAGCTGTTTATTCATCTCAAGCAGGAAGCACAGTTATGGTGTTTTAATGAACACAGCATTGTTTTATTGTTGTGGTTGTGTTTGATTCATTTTGTTGGAGTTTGGGCAGAGGATGGTGATGCTGTGTTACAGTGTTGATGATGCATGTTGATAGAGCTTGATGCTGATTACTAAGCAAATGAAGTGAACTCACTCTCAAGTACACCTGGTTTAATATTCTGGCAAAAAAAAAAGCTCTTGTCAAATATTTGGCCCAAAGACCCAGCTTGAATGATTCATATTTGCAATTGAACTGAGGCACCTGTGTGTGTGTGTGTGTGTGTGTGTGTGTGTGTGTGTGTGTGTGTGTGTGTGTGTGTGTGTGTGTGTGTGTGTGTGTGTGTGTGCGTGTGTGTGTGTGTGTGTGTTTAAAGTGGTTTGGATGTTTATTGCTGAATGCACTGGCTGAAGCCTCACTAAGCTACTAATGTTGCCAATAAGCATAACAAGCCAGGGGTTGAAGGAGTTTTAATTTGTAATGCACAAGTACTTCAACACATGACTTCTGTTTGTGAGTAACACAGGCGTGTTACTATTTATATACGCTGATCCAGCCACTAAATTTAGATTTTTCATCCCTCATAAATAAGCCAATCTAGCAGGTAGTGTATTGAATGCATCACAAAACACATTATTTGCATCTTTTGATGACAACCCTCATCTACATGTGTCTTTACATGTGCCTGACTCAATGATTTTATTTACATTTGGTGTGACCACGTCAGATTTCAAATATTTGACTCTTTATTCATGTTTTAAAATATTTCATGAAACAATAAAACAACAGAGATATTAAGGAAATGTTGATAATTTGAAATATTTATCAGCCTCAACAGACCTTTCTTTTTGTAGTTTTGGCAGTACAGTTAAATGAATGAAAATTTATTGGAAGTGCCCAAACTAGAAAACAACTGCACTCGGATCAGTAAAAAAAAGAGATTTTGGCTGTGCAAAACTTAGATCAATACGAGGAAGTATTAGGGCCACGTTAATAAAAAAAAAAAAAAAATACGACTTTGGGATTAAAGTCATTAACTTAAAAGAATTAAGTCATTACTAAGGAGAATAAAGTTGTAATAAAATAATTACTTATGAGAAAAAAAGTCATAATAAAGTCCTTATATTCTTACCTGCTGTTTAAGATGACACTTATTGAAATGAGATCCATGAAGCATTTTGTGAAAATGTACTTAAATATAGGTTTCTCAAACAATGAGATACTTAATTCTTTTGGCACATCAGCACTACATTATCAAAAGTACCATAATGATTTTATTCTGACTTTTCTCGAAAGTAATTACTTCATTATGACTTTATTCTCATAAGTTAGGATTTTATTACGACTTTATTCTGGTGAGTAATGACTTTATTACAACTTTATTCTTGTAAGTAATCACTTTATTCCCGTAAATTGACGACTTTAATCTCAAAGTCTTATTTTAATTAATTTTTTTCTTCATGTGGCCCTAATACTCTGTCGTAGATAAATAATAATCTGTTGCTTGGGGGTATTTTTTCCCTTCCTATCATCTTTAAAGTTTAACACTTAGGCCCTTTGTGTTGGTTTAATTTGAAGTAGAAAAAGACAAACTCTTACAAACCTACAAATGACTTTTGCTTGGATAAACCCTGGCTGGAACCTTAGACTCAGTATCAGGTTTCTATTAGCAGAATAAGCCCCCTGCCACAATGGAAGAACCAAAGACTCAAACACTGGGCATCAGTCTCATCTCATAACTGTCACACTTGAGCACAGTGAAGTCACACATGTATGGACACACTCACTCATACACCGTGATCCCTTCCCCTCACTTGACTGAATGCTAGTCTTGCTGTCTCCATGGGGACTGTCACCTAGCTACACACATACACACACAGAGCAGGAGAGAGAGAGAGAGAGAGAGCAAGAGAGAGAAAGGGAGAGAGAGAGAGAGAGAGAGAGAGAGCAACACACTCACTTGTACCATCCCTTTTCTTCCCTGACTGATCAAAAGCAAAGCCCTGTCAATCATACACACGCCTATCCAATCTGGACTTTGTCCTTGGTTATAGAAAGCAGTCATCCTCTTCCCCGCTGTCTCTCTCTGCTTTTTCGGTTCCCTCTATCCTTTCCCCCTCCTGTCCGTCTCAGCCTCCACAGCCCTCTCATATCAAAGCCAGTGAGGACAGCTGTCGGGCTGTGGATCTAAACAGCGGGCAGCCGTCGTGGCAGGAGGTGAATTAATCCGCCCTGGCATTTTAAACCCCCTGGCCCCTTCCAAACAGTTACATCTGTGTGGTCCCCTGTATCCTCTCCAGAAATTGCACACCGGGAACTGCAGAGGACAATAACACAGTTAAAGCTGTCTGTCATCACTCAATAATTAATGATTGATAGTGACAACTTCCAATTGGTCACTGACAGTTTTGGAGAGTAACTGCTGACTGTTGTTTATGTTCATTATTTAATGGAAGGTCAGAAATGTTACTTCGAGGAGGGTTTTCAAAGCCTGTGATGTGAAGGGCTAAATACAATTCCTTTCTTTTACTTTATTTTGAAAAAGGTTCCATCATTTGAATGTACATGGTGATTGCCAATTGTTGCTTGTGGGTACCAACGGTTACAAATGTGGTCCAATATTACCAAGAACATTTGCTGGGCAGCTTTGTCAGACACATTCATACTGTATCTGGTAATGCTACAGCATGAGTCATTGTCTTCAACAAGCCTGTCAGTCAAAAGTAATGCAATGGCTGTAATTGCAGTTTGTTGACTGGTCTGTGACTGCTCCATCTCATTTCATTACTTTCTGTTACATGAAAAGTCATGCAGTGTTTAAACAGACAGAAGGGACACTGTATCTCAGCGGTAGAATCAGGTTGTCTCTGAATCTTAAGGTTGGGATTTGATCCCACTGCCTGCATGCTGAAGACACTTTACCAAAAAAGCTGGCCAGGTGGGGATGCCAGCAGTGTGTGAATGGAATTAGTCAACGAATGAGACCTAAAATTTCAGCCTTTGTCATCAGTGTATGAATTGGGTGTGTACCGGTGAAGGTGACGTGCAACATACCAGAACTTTCAGTGGTCAGAAGACAATTATATACACAGTATGTTAAGGCTGTCAGAGTTGACGCTTTGATAATTGGTTAACACAAGTTCCATTTTTGCCACTAATATTTTCATCATTGATTAATGCACATACCTTCTCTAAACTTTTATATACTGCTATTATATGATGTCTTTAATGTGACCTTTAGCCCCCTTTAACATTTAAGGCCTCTGGAAGTATCTCACTGTAGTTATAACAAGTGGCACAAGAAAATCAATGTTTTTCCACTCTCACCATTGGCTGTGGCTCTAACCACGAGAGGGCCTTGTGGTGACTGTTTTTAGCTTTGTTTGGTTTTGAATGCTAATGTAAAATAATTAGAGACAATAACACGGTATAGAGACCAGGTGCTGTATAGTCAATGTTTAGAAGAATTCCTGCTTTATAGTCTGTAACTCATAAATGCTCGCTAAATGGCCAGTGTAACAAGCAGCTGTGGTTGTCGGCAGAAAAAGAGCTAGTAAAGCAAGCACAGATAAATAAACAGGTCCTGCAGAAGTTTAGCTTTAAAGAGCTACATGATGGTTCCCTGAACAAGATGAAATTTAATTGCACTTACTGTACACGTGGACCGAGTAACCATCAACTCTGAGATACAACTTGCTGGCCAGGAACACAGCTTATCCAGCAAGCCCTCATCCCTCCTGCCAATAGCAGGCCACGCTGAATAGTTTACAAATGAGATGTATAGACAAATCTGGAAGCAATAACTTTTAACAGCCGTAGTTAAATGTGTGGCCACAACTTGCAGACCAATTAGTGAGACAGTGACAGTACTTATGAACTTCCCTTTGTTGTAACAAAGATCTATGACCTGAGAAGGCTAAGGTGGAGGAAACACTCAGGCAGTCAAACATCGCCATGCTGGAGACCACTGGACTTCTCTCAGTAATCAGTTACCTTGGAGTCACTGCATATTATTTTGACCCCCAGTGGGAACATCAGTCGCATGCTTTGACTGTAACGAAAATAGAGGAGAGGCATTTTTGCTGAAGCATGTGCTGAGGACATCTTAAAAGTAGCTGGAGAGTGGGACATTGAAAATAAAGTGAGCACATTGACCACACGCAACATGATTGCAGCAGCCAGGGAGCACCTGTTTGAGCATATGCCTTGCATCGCACACAGTCTCCAACAAACAGTTTCTCTACAGAACAGTCCATCCAACAGCGCGTTTGCAAAATGCAGAAATGTAGTCTGCAATTTCAAGCATAGTCCATCAAATGCAATGGAGCAAAATGAGCTGGAACAGCAGAAAATCGCTCATTGTCACATGAAAGAGTCACAGATGTGTCAGCGAGATGGAATAGTACCCAGGAAATGATAATGTGTGCTCTGAGAAATCAGCAAGCACTGACAGATGCCCAGGCTCTACATTCATCCAATGTCAACATGCCAAAAACAGCAGATCTGGATCAGCTGAAGAAGTTGGAGACCACAGGGGCTGGAACTCTGCAGGTATTTAATCAATACCCTCCCGTTTAGGTTTGTTTCTTAATCAATGTGGGTCTATGTCAGGAGTGGTGGTGTGGATTTGCTTTTATGTGCATTAAGGGATGTGGGGGCAGAGATTGGTGTGTCTGTGTGATGGGTGTGTGTTTGAGAGTGAATGAGTGGGTATGTGTGTATGAAAGAGGGAGCGCAAAAACAGCGAGTGCGCATGTGTTGTTGTAAATAATAGTGAGAGAGAGAGTGTGTGTGAGTGTTTGTGTGTGTGTGTGTGTGTGTGTGTGTGTGTGTGTGTGTGTGTGTGTGTGTGTGTGTGTGTGTGTGTGTGTGTGTGTTGAGTTGTTGCTTGAAAACCAAAGCTTTTAAGACTGAAATACAACTGTAGAGACTGTTAGCTGACAGACCAAAAGTGACTGGACCGACACATAACTCAGTCTGATCAACAGGAGAAGACTACTGCAAGTGAGCTTAACAATCACGCTGAAGATAGCTAAAGCTAACTGCTAAAAAAAAACCACAGAAAACTACACTGAGAGTAACTTCACAAGGAAACTTGGAAATAAATATTATGTACCAAAGGAAAACAAGAACTAATTTAACAGTCTGAACTCCCTGGAAGAGCCAAAATAATACAAGGGCGTGAGATACTGTATCCAAGTCACATCACAGCTGTCAAGGCAAAAAAGACTTTCAAACTACAGGTTGTTCGGGAATCACCAAAGACAGTTTTGTCAGACTTTGCAGTAACAGAAAAGGACAAAACAAATCTTTCTTTCTTTCTCCACAAACAAACAATGGCACACAACATTCCCTGAAACCTACATGACTACAAAGAAGAAGGGAATCAGCAAGGGAAGGCAAATCTCTGTTTCTGAAGATGCAGACTGAACCAGCCCAATGCTGACTTTTACTATCTGCTGTAACAATACAGTCATGGTCCAAGGATTTTAAAACAGTCTCGATCATTTCTAAAATACCTTCCTCAACATGAAGGAGAAGGCTGAGAAGAAAGAGAGGGTGAGCTCAACACAGTCAGAGGTAGAAAACATGAGCAAGACAGAGAGCATAACTGAATCCAATATGTTCTCACTGCGACCGTCTCATGAGATCAGTCCAAGGTTCTTCAGCAGTCTGAAGACTCACACAGAAGGTCTGTCAGTGTTAGATCCTGGGGGGTTTAGGATTAAGGGTTGCTAGTACCCTTAACAACCACTAAAATCACACACCCTAAGTTTAAACCAAGAGGAACAAACTTCTTTTCCAGTGCAGGTATTTTGTTGTAACAGTCAGCAAGTATTGGTTTTAAGTTAGACTGAACTGATTTAGTTTGAATCATAACCAAATCAAGTGTTTGTCAGGCTAATGTGGCTGTGCTATTTTCTGCAGGTTACAAATTTAAAAATGTGACTTATGGTGTCCCTATGGTAGCATTAATAAAAATTTAATGAGTCTCTCTGTGGAGACAATAACTCTGATATTTGAGTTGAATTGTAAAATCAAGCCAGTGAGTTTGTTTGGGACAATGTAGATGATACTGCAGTGATAATGCAAGTGCTGCACAGGCATGACTTGATGATAGAGATGCCTTGTGAGAATGCTTCTGTTGAATGGTAGCAGAGGAAAGATACACATTTTCCTTCTGGCTGCAGTTCAGTGACTGAGCAAACAAGGATGTCTCATTTGGCTGGTCAGATAGATCCTTATAGAATGTTTCTGGCCAGTCTTATCTACATGGAGCTGTAGAGGGCCATTATTCAAAGTCAGTTCAGTCGACCAGTGTCACGGAACCCATGGCCTGTTGCTCAGCAATGCTGGATTGTTATCTGGCAGAGGAATGAATTACACTTCAAATAAAAACATGAAAGATAAGCTAGATAATCATGTTTAAACTGTTCATATTTATATATGAGTATTAAAAGTTTAAACAATACTATATTTCATAATGCATTGCCATATTGAATAAAAACAGCCAGTTGTTTAGTTGCAGTATTACACTTTCATATAGTAACATTGTGGGTTTTTTTAGGGTTTCTCAAAGTCTCAATTTCATTACCAAGTAAGATAACACTTCCAAGTGTTATCTGACGCATAAACAGAGAAGTGGATTTGGTTCTTATACCAATACATTTTTATCCCACCCATTTTGGATCAGATTTTCTGACTTTTTGGTTATCTCATTGATTTCAGACCAGAAAGCATCCTCAGTGTGCTAGCAATTCACACAGACACAAGTCAAAAGCACTCCAAGTATCAGCCAGTTTTTATGCCTCATGCTTGGACTTCACAGAGTTTCTTAAAAACTGTGAAATCCATACCAAAGGTGACATTTTATGCTGGTCTTACTCTGCACAGCTTTTCTTGGGATTTTAAAGTTAGTTTTCAAATAGAGTCGTAAGAGTTTTGCTGAAGTTTTGGCACATTCTGTGATCACAGTCATTTGGTGGGAAGCAGTCTTAAGGGATTTCTGAGTGCGCATCTGCAAAGATGGCAGTTGAATTGATTGAAGATTGAATTGCCCTTCAAACTTGTGAAACTTGTTTGAAAATTAAGCGAGGCGATGGATAAGGGCAAAACGATGATTCCTGATATGCAGATTAAAGGTTAACCCCAAAGAACTGCACAGAATGTCGACTTGCATGAAAAGCAGTGGAGAGATGGCTAATCACCAGGAGGAAGAAGTGTTTAAGGGAGTCAGTCTGAAAGCCATACTTACAGAGATAAGAAGTTTTTGGCAAGACAACAATCAACAACTTAAGAAATTAAGCAAAACTTAATTGAGACTAACACAAAGGAGAGGAAGCAATCAATAAAAGAACTGATGGAGGAACTTATTTAACTCCAGACACACATGGAAGCAAGGTAATCTGACCAAGAGGAAACATCAAGATGAAAAAACATCTGGACTGACCCTGTTGCAGAGGGATCTGAGAGTTCATTTATGTACATTATATGATTTGTCAAAGATCCGCTGAAATTTAACTTATTACTGCCAAAACACATGGACCTTTTGATTGGATTTGCACACAGGATGCTTGAGTTGACACCGAGTTCCATCATCATCTTGTTTTTGAGTTACAGATCCAAAAAGGAAATACTGGGAACCGCATGGCAGAAGAAGAGTTTTGTTTGGAAGATTGCACAGATTAATTGAGATAATGACTTTGCTTAAAGTGTGTTTCAGAAAAGGCAGGAGAATGCAGAAGCCCAAAAAGGTTTTGAATGAAAATGGGACTTGTTCCCAGACACCTTTCTGGCAAGAGTTATTTTATTCATATGGAACCTGGACAGCACAACTGAAGAAGCAACAAAGGAGATGGCAGAGAAGGGGTTAAACCAAACTTAAAACACTCAAGTCATTGTTGGAATTTGTCATTTTAAGTGAGGTTTAATGTGAGTGTATAACAGGGATCAAAAGGGGCCTTGTGTAATAGTTACAGAAAAGACTGAGGGGGTGATGGTTCCATCTCTCTGTGTACAGTATGCTCCTCCAGGAAGAGATTGGCATTTTTATGACAGACTTTTCAGCATGATGGCTGCTGAATCTCAGGAGGTGAATATATGTGGAGGTGATGTGAATATAAGAAATATGTAAAACATAGACTCAGCTAGTTCTAGGTGACACAATATAGGACACACTAAATCCATAATAAAATCCATAGTAAATCAAGAAAATACTATCATTGCAAGAATCTGCATTGTCAATGTTTGGAGGGATCTCTATCAACCAGCCATGACCACACAGTTTTTTCTCCACCACAGTCCACTCATTCCATGATTGATTATTTTCTTCCATCTAAAAAAAATCATCATATGAAAATTGTACCCGAACATAATGAATATCCTATGTGCCAAGGAAGAATAAATTAACATGATGCAGTCTTAAAACTCGATCCAGACTTATTTATGGCTGTCTCTTCCTTGACCTGTCATTATGATAAAATCAAACATGTTAAATCTATTTCTAGGTCTTTGGTCCAGTTTTATCCAAATCAGGTTGTTGGATGATATGATCATTGCTGACAACTGAACAGTGTGCTCTCACCACCATCAGCCCCCTAACAGGAAATCTATCTAACATGGTGCAAACAAACACACAGTTTGCTCACAGGCTAATACCCCATTCTAAGCTGTGGTTAAACCACAAGCCACCTCATTCGAACCTGAGACTCCAAGAGCCACAGCAATTACTGTCAACTTTTTTCCTCTCCACTGTGCTGTGGTACAAACAGGAGAACATGTTAAATTTACACCCACCCAACACTCCATCAGTTTTGTCTTTGTAGAAGTCTGGGAGGGGGCTTTCACTTGTAGGGGTGTTGGCAAGCCAGCCAATAATTAGAATGTATTGGAAGTAATATAACTGTTATAGTGTTTTATTGTTATTGTTATTGTGGTTGTTGTTATTATTGTTGTTGTTGGAGGTAGTAGTTGACTGCTAAAAAGTTGTTAATTTGCATTAGTAATCTGGCCTTGTTGTCAATGACCCCGCAAGATCACCAGTCTTTGCAAAATCTCAGTCAGTGACGAAAAACTCTGAGACTTGCAGATGACTGTCAGACATCAGTCTTTTAAGCGTTCTTTACAGGTGATTGGCATCGGTCTCCTGGTCTGTTAATATAGTTCTGCTATGCATCAACAACTGAATGTGCATATTACATTACTGTTTTGGCAAAGGGGAGACAAGTGTGACTTTCCTGGCTGATACTATTCTGTGGATTGAGAGCCCCATGGCTTTCCGACTGGGGACAGTGACTGAAAAAGGCCAGCTGGCTTGCTCCAAATCTGGACATAAACTGACCAGAGAAATATGGTCTTGGGGACTGCCAAAGGAGAAAGGGGTTCTCTGAGAAACATATTTTGGCATAAGTTGGCCAACAACACTCAGATACCCAAAGCTAAGAGACCAAACAAGGGTTGAAGCTCCAAGCTGAAGCGACTTTGTCATGGCAGGCACTAAAAATAATTCACATATGACATATTTCAGTTAAGAAAGTGCACAGTTCCCCTTTTCTATATCAAAATAGTCTGTGTCTAGATGGATGGAACAAAACATTAACCAAAATAACATCAGTTTCAGTTTGTACCACAATTGCATTGGCAAATTTAAAGAAATGTCTTCTTTTAAAAATGCAAAACCATGATTGATGGCAGTCATGTCAAATTAAGGTCACCTAATGATGTGTAATTCTCTTTTGGTCGAATAAAAAACACATTGTATCAAATGTCTGCATTGCAGAAGTGGTCCTGACAAATGTCATAGGCTATCCTGTCCATCACTGAATTAGTCCATTTGGCAGCACTGAGGACATGTTTTGAATGTATGAATGTACTGCTTTGCTTTGGTTTATTGGTGCTCAAAA